GTGATGCGCTGTGCACCGTGCGAGCTGTGCGGCGCCGTGCTGCGCGCTGTGGGGCTGCGCGCTGCGCTCTGTGCGCTTGCGTGCTGCGAAGTCGCTGCGTGCCATGGCATGCATCCTCGAGCCCTCGAGGTGTCAGCTTCGCCCTTCTTTGTTGGGGAGATGGTACTGGTCGCTAGAGTCACTAGACCTTGATGTCGGATCCTGGGGAAGTCCAGTCCAGGGCCAACCTATCTCCAGGCGCGCTGGGCGGCCTTCTGCCCGTCGGAGACCTTTCTGCCGGTCGAGGGATTTGGCCGGGATTGTGGGTTTAGGGATTGTGTTGCGACAAGTTCCCTCGTTGTTGCCCCGAAGCTCCTCATCACTGAAAACACTGCGAAGCTTCTCACTTTAAGTCTGAGAACAAATATATATATATATATATGTTAGAGAGATATGTTTCAACCACATCTGCGACCTCATACTGAGGCTGGAGTCTTAACGAACCCCAAAGCCCCTTTCAACCCTCTCCCCTACTGAACCTGTTGCCCCCGGACAAGCTGAGGTCACGGCACTTCGCTTGCTGGGGCCTCGGGCTGAAGCGGAAAGGACTTTCAGGGACATTTATAGGGAGTCTTCAGTTTAGTGAAAGTTGTCTCCCGAAAACGGCTTGCCGTTACAAACACCTTAGCCTCTCGCTCGCGGTTCGCCGTGGCTGCTGCTCGGCCTAGGTCGGGCGCTCTGGGCGCTCTGGGCTTTCTTGGAAGACCTCAAACCCCAGACTTTCCCACAGAGCTCTTGCTTAATTTGCGATTTCCTGCCAAGTTCTACAAGGTCAAGCTAGCATCTCATCAAGCTGAAGAATCGCTTCAGACACCTCACAGGCTTCAGTACAGGCGAATCCTGGATGGGAGCTTGCGCACTCTCACGGACGCAACGTGTGCCACAGCTAGGGGTGCCGCTTTCGCGGACATCGGTGATGGGTAGTAGAACTCGCCCTGTGTGCGTCCGCAATTCTTGGTAGGGATACGTCAGTGGACTCGCAATCCCGGAGTTCTGTGTCCAAGCACAAAGCCAATGCCCTTAACAAGGAGAGACTCACTCTCTCGCAGCTGCGGGGCACTGGCCAAGACATCAAGGACGAGCCCGCCATGTTCTTCCACTAGTACACGCATCTAAGCAGATGGAGAGCACTCACGGTACGCCGTAGCATACCCCCCCCCTCGGGTTTTCCATGCTCCCACCCTCAACTTCAATCCTCCAGGGCAGGAGCAACAAAAGACACCCCCGGAAGATGCTTCCTCACCCAAACGATGTTTTACGAACATAAGGGATCCCTAGAATAGCCCCCCCAAATAGTAGGAGTCCCTGATATTAAGGACCCCAATAAAGGTCCCCGTAAACCTGCAAAAAACGAAGCCGATGAGAAGTGGCCTTCCGCACCGCTTCCCGCAGGTTCGACTCGCTCGGGAGGAGCCCGTGCCCTGCCAAGGCATAGGCTTGACGGGCCCTGAGAATCCTTAGAACCTGGGGAGGGGTTCTGAGGTGGGGAGTCCCTCATCTCTCCCCCCATTCTCTCCCTCTTCCCCCCCAGGGGCCGAGGCCCATGGTCGCTCCCAGGGGGGGCTGCACCACCAACCCGCGGCCGCCGATGAGGACGACCTTCTGCCTGGCACGTTGGTTGAGGATTGAGGGTTTAGGGTTTAAGGGTTAAGGCTTTGAGGGTTTAGGGGTTGAAAGAAAGGATGACAAAAGAGATGAAGAAGCCGAGGAGCTTGGGGGTTTGAGAGATCTCCTGCACTTGAGTACAGTCGGCCTTGTGTGTAGTCTTGGTTGTCAGCAGCGCAGAGACGCGCTTTTTTAGGACCCTCAGAACCACCGTAAACCGCACAAAAAATGCGCGAACAGCACAGCACATGGGGCCTGGGCTTGCGCGGCTGCGACCTGAGCACCGAAACCTGGGCGATGCCCGTGGAACCTGGGAGAAGGCTTCTTTGCTCAGCTTCATTATGCAGAGCTCGTGGGCTCAGGGCCCAGGGCTCATAGCAGTTTGGGGGTATCCGGGCTGCACTAGGCCGAAAAGCCTTGCTGAGCATCCTCCCACAACCACACACACCGAGCCTCAAAGCCCAGACCTCCCAACACCCAACACCCACCCCTGCAATCGCCCAGCCTCAACCCTGAACCCCCAAAATCCACAAACTACCACCCTTACACCCCTAAAATCCCCTAAACCCCCAAAAAATCCCCGTTTTCTTGGGGGAACTCTTTGGAGCTAAGCCAGCTAAGCCAGCTAAGCGAAGGCGCAGGAAGCAGAGCGGCTCAGGCGCTTGGGCCGCGGGGCATCCTGGGCTCAATCAGTCACAATGGGGTTTCAGGTCCCGGTCTTCCAAAGGGGAGGAACAAAGGGTTTGCTGGGATTTTGTACAAAGGTGCTCCTTCATTATGTTTGCGGTGGGGGCGGGGGGGGGGGGCTGAGGAACAAATGAGTGCTTGGAGGCGTCTTGGAGGTGCGATGGGGCTCAGGCACCGGCCGCCAGGTGCTTGGCAGACTGCTGCAAAGCCGGGGCTTTCAGCCCTGCGATGTGGGGTTCGGGTCTGCGGGCCTTTTTGTCTTGCTGCCGAAAGGCTGTTTGGGGCTCTAAGGAGCTGTAGTAGGCGCTGGCTCTCAGGGGTTCTGTGGAGACTTGAAGGCTGTAAACGGCCCGAACAGCAGATGGGCGCAGTGGCTCCCACGGCATCATTCTCAACCCGACGTGCCGCGCACAAGTACTCCACCCCGAACCCCAAAAGACCCCTAAGTTCCTAAAGCCGCTGAGCATGCCCAAAATCGCTAAAGTCTTTATGCAAGAATATTCAACAGCCGCTCTAACTAAGCTGACGAGTCATGCCCTCAAATTTGAGAGCCAAGGAGTCCTAGGAGAATTTGACCTTATTGAAGGGTGCCTTGCACCTTGCTGTCAGCAGGAACGCCGCTGCGGGTGCCTCGCCGCAGTGCCGCGGGATGCGGCGGAAGGATACGGGCGTTTTCGGGGGTTGGAGGCACATTTTGCTGAAGGGCCCCAGGGATTTGATGTTTGATTGACTTGCTTCGACATCCTGACGCTTCAGCTATCGCTTCAGCTGGCCAAGCCTTGTCCGAGCCAACAAACCGCCTGAGGCATCGGAGGCATTGGTTCTTTCGAGGCTATCACATAGGAATTGTTTGTGCAGCCTAAGACTCTCGATCGCTCGCTCAGACTTTCAGATCATGCTCTCTTGCCATATCGTATCTCTTCTCAGCCAAGCAACGGCAGTGACCACAGCAGCGGCAGACTTGGAGGTCGAAAACAAAGAGTCGCCCCCTCGGTGTTCAATCAGGCGACACGAGGCAAGAACTGTGATGAGAAGACATTCGAGACTTGCCTTGCAATTCTGCCTTGACAGGAAACCACGGATCCCGCAACACATGCTTAGAATTGTGAACCAAAAGGATTGCTGCGGGTGAACATGTCAAACAGCCGGAACCAAAACACATCGGAACACACTTGAACACATCGGAAAAGTCGGGGCATCTGCGCAAGCCGAGCAAGTTCGCAGATGCCGGCCGCTTCAAACCTCCGCAAGCCGCAGTGGCTTGGGTGCCGAGCTTCAAGATGACTTGAGGATACTTCATGGGGGTTTTTTGAGGGATTTAGTATCCGATTTAGGTCATTTAGGGCCTTCATGGCTTCGGGGCTTTCCGTTGCTTAGGCGCGGGTTTGGACGCCGCTTGGCCCGACTTGGCCCCGGGCCGGCCTCCCAGCCCCCGACAATCGGAGCAGAACTAGCGACAAAAGAGTCCCGAAGGGGCCGAATCCCCAAACCCGATAAACCCCAAAAACTCTGTAAACCCCATAACCCCTCTAAACCCGAGAGTTCTCCATTTAGCGCGTTTTCGAAATTTACAGTTCCGGCCTACCCACCCACCCCCCCCCCCCCCCCTTCAACACTCTTCTGCACCACCCCCCCACCCCCCCGCCCCCCCCCCAACCCACCTCCCCCTCTAAACCCTAAAACCATAAACCCTAAACCCTACGGGGACCCGGGGGTGGTGGGCGGGAAAGGCCTTCCAGTCGGCCGAGTTGGGTCCGAAGCCCAGCTTGAAGAGCGGAGGCCGGCCGGTCTCTGGCACCTTTTTACGGAGACTTCACAGGGTTTAGGATTTTGGGTTTAGGGCTTAGGGTCCGCTTCAGGGCCTTCTTCAGGAAACTTCGAGTAGGGGCTGAATAGCCCGCAAAAAGGTTAACCTTGTATTTGCAATACTAAGTAAATAAACAGATAAATATAAATAAAATATATATATATGTATATATATATATAGCCAGACAAGGCTAAAGTTCAAGGTTAACTACCCAGCCACTAAGCCAAAGAGGTACAGCCCCGCTTCAGGGCCTTTCAGGGGTCAGCTTTTCGGCACTTTGTGGGGTTTTGCTGCAGGTAAGGCGACTCCGGCTTGACAGGAAAGGAAATTTGTAGTCGGAAAAGAAACTCCGGTTGGAGATCCACATCATTTTCCTGAGACTAATGCGTATAGGTCAAGCCTATGTAGGTCAAGGCTATAATCCATCTGTCGTTTGTAAATGCGCCACTTGTGGGACAATAAAAAGCCCCGCTGCCCGTAGCCGCACAAGGCACATGGCACGGCAGTACATTGACTGAGGCCGAAGCGACAGGAGCCAACCCTCGAAAGAGAGTGGGCCCCCAGAAGCATGCCTGTTCGGGTACGTGCAGTCAGCGCTGGTCGAAAGCACGCGGCATGCGGCAATCGACGCCGCCATCCTCGGCGGCAACCTCTCACCACCAGCCTGTTCCAGCCCTATGAGACACGTACTCGGCAACATTGTCGATGTCATCATCGCTCAACCGCCCTCCAAAAGCCGGCATGGCATTTTTGCCGTTGGTGACCTGGGTCTTGATACTGTTGATGCTGTTGCCCCCCGTCAGATGCTGATCCAGGTCCTCCTTTTTCAAGGTTTTGTAGGGCATGATCACATTCTGTCCACCTGCATGGCATGCGGCACAGTTGGCATTGAACACTTGCTCCCCAGAGGCCTTCTCTAAGAGCGAGTTGGTTTCATGAGCAGCGCGTTCGGGGAGCAACGGGATGCTGTTGCCAGAGAGGAGGCTCTTCTTATCTTCATCACTGATGCTGTGCGTGAAGTGCATGGCAGCATCGTAGCACTTCTTTTCTTTCGTGGCCATCTCGAGAAGCTCTGGGGATAGCTTGTCAGCACGCAGGTTCACGGCCTCCTTGCTGCGTGGATCCGTCCAGTGCTCGTCGGTGGGGTGGCGGTTGCTCTCATGGATCTGCTGCAATCCAGGATGGCTTTTCTGGTCGATGGCTGCAAGGACGTGATCCAATTCAGCCATGGTGAAGTCATTGCACGGCTTGGCATTGCCTTTGGTGATGCGAAGAAGATGCTTGTTCAGCAGGGTGTTCGACTCCCCGTGTGCAGCGATGAACGCCGGTCCAGGCACCAGCTGCTTGGCACGTGCCACATCTCGTTGAGACAAGCTGCTGGGGCCGGAGGGATGCATGTGCGTGTTGGCCTGAAGCAACTTCACCTCCTCTTTCTCACAGGACGTGTCGAAGCATGTCTCCGGCACTTCTGCAATGGCCGCAGCCACAGCTACGAGGGCAAGGCAGGCGGCCAGGGACATTGCGCTCAAGGCAGCTGTCGTGAGCGGAATCTGTGAAGCTGACAACTTCGGCTGGGGCCAGTGAGCTTTCAGACGTCCAGAATGCTTAGGCTTGTCTTGCAGGTTCTGACCAAACAGTTTCAAACAATGTATGGTGTTCATGTCGGCCACCGTCATGCTCCTTGCCCGATACTATGCTGTATGCTATACGTGAACCACAGACTTTACTCTGTACAAGCGAGGGAAAAGTGCGATTGGCGTTACCCCACCCTTTCCAAAGCCAAGCCCCCTTCCCCTTGTCCGCCCCTACTTCCTGATCCCCCAAAAAAGATCAAAAAAAAAACTCCCTCCCTTCCTCCCATGGACCCCCCCGCCCCCGATCCCTCTGCCCCACACATCCCCAAGGCCAGCTCATGAAGGGCCCCCTCCCTCTGACTGAGGGCTTCCACAGTCACAAGAATCGCCCGAGGCAAACTGAGATCTGGGCTGTCGCGAGAACAAGTTTGCGAGGCCTCACGGGGCTGTGTAAATGACTTGTGGCCACAGGTCTACAACAGCCAGGATGTTCAGGGGAAGGGGGCAGGGAGGGAGGGGGGGAGTTTGCTTGGGTTCGCAAATGATGCTCAGGGCACTGAGGTCTGGATCCTTTTGATACTTTTCGGAGCTACTTGTAGCTGTGGAATCGATCGCAATGAGGGTTCCTAAAGAACTTCTGGTGCTTCGAGTACTTTTCTACTTTTCCGCAGGAACTGGGCATACTCAGGCAAACATCCGATTCTCAAAGGCATCTCTGGCCTCTAAACAGCGCTTGCGCGGAAAGGACATGCTCTGAAGTCAAGCGGACCCCAAGGATACAAACAGGTCATGCAGCCAAACTTGGCATGAAGTAGGGTTTGTATTCTTCGCCCCAAAAGGACACCCCATACGTATCTACATATATATATATACCTACATATACCTAGTTCTCATAAGGAACTCGATATACACTCACCTGTAATAATATATGCCCTGCTTCAAAAAAAAAATGCCCAGCCCAACTTCCCAACCACCAGTCCAAGTTCTGCAGCCTGCAGGTTCGACGACGTTTTGGCCATCATGGCCAACTCCTGCAAGTGCAGGCATCTTGGGACGCTCCCCCTTATACTAACAGTGCTTGGTCGGGATTATAGTACCCGCTACTCTATAATCCCCACTAAGGACTGTTAGTACAAGGGGGAGCATCCCGGTATCTACGACACTCTACGACCAGGACACAACAACCTTCTGTCTACCCGAGAGCCCGAGACTCTGCAGCACAACGACACTTCAGCAAAGCCCATGCAGGCGGAGGGATCGCCTTGCAAAGGTAACAGCCCAACGAAAGCGCAGCGTGCCAAAACTAACTTTACCTCTCAGCTTGCTACTAGTTTTCTTTAAGGCACCGTCCACCTTGGCCGTAGGGCTCTCTGTGGAGGTCACGACCTCCGTGCCTGTCCAGGAATGCACTGCGTCGTGTCTAGATCACATCACGTTTCAAGAGAAAGGGTGAAGAGGGCATAAGAATTACGGTACTCCTTTTCGTCCGAAGCGACGTAGGGAGAACATACAGTGAGACAAGATAGCACGGCCAGGTGAACTGCCTCCTGGTTCTAATTTTGGATTGTCCCCTGTTGACCACAACAACTCCGATGTATGCAATGCAGTGATGGCACACTGGTGCACTGATGCAGTTGCCTTCGGACACCCCAAAGCCCACGGTTTGAGTGTAACCCTCAAGCATCCCCAAGCCATGCCACCTGCATTTTGATCATACAGGTCCCAACAGAGGTCGAACGTCACAGCACCCTGGTGATGGCAGGCGGCTGAGGCTTCTTCCGTCTTCCGAGGTTTGTCGGCTGCGGGGGCTTCAATCATCGGCAGGGTTCCACTAGGTTCCACATGTCAACAGCTGTTCAACTAGGCTTCCACCTGCCTCTCAGCCTATGTGGTACACCCTAACGTTCGAGCAATGAGCTGGACATCGGGCAGTCATGCGCGACGCCTGGTCGCTAGTCGCTAGCTGCCACTATTGTCTCCATGCGCCCTTCTACCCCAGAGGCCTGAAACCCCAAATAAACCCTAAACCCTAAACCCTTTCTGACACTACCGGGTCGGCCTCGCCATTGTAATCCTTCCAGGCCTGGCAGAGGAATTCATAACTGAGCAAAGCCGACGGTATTCCGTAGTGTTCCACAGCATCCCCAAAGCAACCGCGGACTGGCAAGTGCTTGTCAGGGTTGTGTTTGTGGAAACATCGGGTCAAACGACTAGCAGCCTGTCAAAAAACAAGCTCTTCTGCCAGAACCTGTGACAAACACTGCTTCGATAAGGCCTGCTTAAATGCATATCGCAGCGCTTCAAAAAGGCATGCGGTGTGCGAATCAGTATGTTACGGTAGAAGCTGGCCGAAGGTGCGAACGTTTGCAAGCCTTTGCCGTACATGATGTTCAGTGCACCCGCGGAACGACGCCGGCGGAAAGCATTCCGGAGGACACCCTGCTTCCGCTATGTCGGTTCACTTGCAAAATGCGCCACAAGAGCTTGCTGCCGTTGTGGCATGGTGGAATTCCAGCATTGCACCGACGCATCTAAACTCTAAACCCCAAAACCCTAAACCCTAAACACTAAACCCTAAACCCTGAGGAGTTTCGACGCGACCGCGAGAGCCAGCCGACCTGACTTGCCATGATCCTGCCCTTCTTCGTCGTGGCGTTTTAAGACTTGAACTGGGCTTTCGGGATTTTCTTTTTTTGCAACCCTGTGCACCTTTTCTAGTGCAGGCCACTGAGCAGGGTAGCCAACTTTCGGGACTTGGGGTTTAGGGTTTAGGGTTTAGGGGGCTGCCAACGACATGGCTGCAAACTGCTGCAAGCATGATGCCCAGCGGAGAATCATCCTAGGGCTCCACATCACCCCATCGCTGAAGCCAAAGCGAATACATGATTAAAGTCCTACCACCCCTTCTTGCCAGATGGCAAGGCGGAATATTACCGGCGAACAACGAAAAACTCATCATGACAACGAAAGACAAGATGTGACCTATGGATGTTCGCCGGTTCCCGTTTGATGTCCGCCAGTTGGCTTTCGATGTCCGCCGACGGGACGGGACGGGACGGGACGGGACGGGACGGGAAGCGACGCGACGGGACGCGACGGGACGCGACGGGACGGGACGGGACGGGACGGGGGGGGGGGGGGGGGGGGGGGGTCAGGCGGTTCTCTATATTTTCATAGGAATACCGTCAATCTTTCCGTCAGAAAACCTGTTTCCGTAGAAAAACCTCTATTTTGCGTGCATTTACACAGGACAACAAACCTCCATTTTCTCTAAATGTCCATAGCAAAACAAACAAGATTCAGATGATTTGAAGCAAGCTTGCACAGCTTAAAAAAGGGGGGGGCTGGGGGGGGGGGGAGTTACAAAAAGACTCATTATTCTCTGAAGCCAGCTTGCACGGCTTAAAACAAGCGGGGGGCCGGAGGGGGGGGGGGCGGGGGCAGCCCCCCCCCCCCATTTGCAAACACAATGATCACACGATGGGTTGGGAAAAGAAATGATCACACGATGGGGTTTTAAAAAACTCATATTCATATGCTTTGAAGCAAGCTTGCACGACTTACAAAAAGCGGGGGGAGTGCGGGGGGGGGGGGCCCCCATTGCAAACACAATGATCGCATGATGGCTTAAAGAAAGAGATTCATCTGATTTGAGGCAAGCTTGCACGGCTAAAAAAAGGCGGGAGGGTTTGGGGGGGGGGCAGCCTCACCCACCCCCACCCCCATTTGCAAACACAATGATCGCGATGGGCTTAAAAAGACTCGTATGCTTTGAGGCAAGCTTGCGTGGCTTAAAGAAGCGGGGGGGTTGGGAGGGGCGCAGCCCCCCCCATTTGCAAACACAATGATCGCATGATGGGTTGAAAGAAATCATATGATTTGAAGCAAGCTTGCACGGCTTAAAAAAAGTGGGGGGGTGGGGGGGGGGGGGGGGGGGGGGGGGGGGGAGCCCCCCCCCCCACGCCCATTTGCAAACACAATGATCGCATGATGGGTTAAGAAAAGCTTCATATGCTTTGGAGCAAGCTTGCACGGCTTAAAAAGGTGGGAGGGGGGTTGGGGGTTGGGGGGGGGGAGGGGGTGCAGCGCCCCCATTTGCAAACACTATGATCGCATGATGGGTAAACAAAAACCATCTGATTTGAAGCAAGCTTGCACGGCTTAAATATGCTTTGAAGCAAGCTTGCACGTCTTGAAAAAAGTATCGATGGTGATCGATGGTCTGCCTTCAAAGGTTACAGAGTTTGAGATGCTTGACCACAAGGTTTTTCGATGCTCGGCGGAGGGTTTTTCGATGCTGGGCGGGAGGTGTTCGATGCTCGGCAGAAGGGTTTTTCGTTGCTCGCCGGAAGGGGATGGTTGCCGCCGGACCTGGATCGATGCTGGCAGGCCGCTTACGTTGTTATCTTTCGTTGTGATGAGACATCTTTCGTTGTCCGCCGGTAGTTTTTCGTTGTTCGCCGGTACCCACCCGCCCGCCATTGCAGAGAAATGCTGGCACATAAGTTAGACAGATATACCCTGAACTCTAAATCCTACAGGCCCTATAGATTTTGAAGGCATGCCGAGCTTCGTCCCTACCCCTACCCTGACGCCGGACATGCTTCTTCGCTCCCGTGAAACCAAACGCATATCCGATAACTTCAGCAGGCGCTTTACACATTTTTTTCTCAGCCCTCTTCTGCACAGAACTCTCCTTGGTGGGGCGCACCATGCGATTCCTTTGCGGCTGCGGGCCAGACTTCTTCCTGCACCAGACAGCCATGCTGCGGACATGTTCTCGCGTGGGACTTTCGCAACTCAGTGCTCCTGAACCACGGAAAATTTGCCCGAAACAGACTGAACCCCGGGCCTGCCGTCACACTCCAGTACCTGTGAATGCGGATATGGCAATGGCACTGGGAGCTGAAAAGATCTGCAAAGCAGCCCACAGCCCCTAAAAGTACAGATGAACATCTGTGGGCTCACGACACCCGGCTGCAGGCACATTGTCTGCATCGGGCTGGGTTGGCAGCCCTCTGTCCTTGGCGCACTGGGATGGCAGCTCTGTTCCTTGAACCGCCTTCGGGTGTGTGAAGCTTTGCTTGTAATGCTCTGATGCTGTTTAGGCAGCCGAAATGGAGGCTCTTCGGAGTTTAAGGCTTCAGGCTTGCAGGTTATAGGCTATAGGGAAGTCAAGATGGCTACCGCGGGTATAACCTCACATGCGCTCATCTGGGGCCCTCTGCTTTTGGAAGCCATGCGTGAAGGCTTCTGCTGGCCTCGTTGCACCGCACCGGGTGGGCGTGTGTCGTGCTTCCACCTGTCCTAGATCGTTGCAAGTTGCTGAGGCTATCCGGACGGTTCCGGCGATCGACTTCTCAAGCCAGCACATGCCTAAGCATCCTGCACCTCTTGAAATCCCACCCGCCCACAGCACAGCAACATGTATAGTAATGCAATAGCACCATCGCGCGTCTGCTGCATCTTTGGGCGGCCGAGCACTGCGACCAGCTGCTCGGCCTCACGCCGTCCCTCCTGGCTAAAGAAGGAGCTGAGCTCTCAGAGAGTGGGGGGAAAGGGGGGGCTAATACTGTACTGAGACTAGAAGAGGCCGTGCCTGCAAGCACCAACAACTAAACTACATGCCAACCCCAACTGTACCGCCTTCACTCCCAAGCCCAGCCTGCATCTTCACTCGACCTTGCTTCGCCTGCACGGAGTTTGCGTAAGCTCCAGAGATTCAGGCGACTCAGTGGCATCTCGGGTTGGTGTTCCGAGAGGCGTAGGGTCGTCGAGCAACGCACCAACACACCAACGCACCAATGCACTTAGCAACTTCCACACCCCAGGCTAATTAAACGGCTCAGGGTTCCACAGGACGAAGTAGAACCGGAACCACAACAACAAAAGCAAGCCACCCCCGTCTGAAGGCCCGTAACATCGCGGAACTCATGCCCTCGAATTGCTCTGCCTCTGGCGAGAAGCCGTCGACAGACTCTGCAATGCAAGTGGTAGCGGAGGAGCTAGAATCCTTGCACGCGAAGCGGCTCCAGCGCGTAATCAAGTTTCGGTGGCAATTGGGGGCGTATTCCGTGGCGCGAGACGCCCGAGGCTCTGCTGCCCAGGTGTCCTTCACGCTGCGGATGTCGAAGTGCACGGAGTCGTTCATCTTCGGCAGCCTTCCGTCCGTCTTCGATCTTGTGCCCACAATTTAGCATGCTGAAGGTTGTGGGTGTTAGGGCATCTGCGCAGAATCAATGGGCGGCGTGGCATCTGCGCAGAATCAATGGGCGGCGTGTCAGGACACGGACTGTATAGGGATTCTGTGCCAGGGAAGACCAAACAAGGTTATACATGCAATTGGACACATGTGTTATTCATAAGTCGTTTACTTTGAATATTACATAAATGTTGATGAAATTTGCTGCTTGTCAATTATAAAATGCACCGTACTATATATATATATGTAGGCACAGCTGTAACGAATACATTAGTATTATCTTTATTGATCTTGTATCGATTTGGTACAAGTGTATAAAAGTCATGAACGGTTGCTAATTTTTGAATAAATGAAGTTTCAGCCATCGTCCAGTTCCAAAAGCAGTGAAAACATGTAAGTAATGACGAAGAGAATCATTTTCATCCGGTTCATCCGGAATAACAAATTTAAACCCAATCGGGTGGGACATGTTCTGGAGGGAAGCTGCAAGCTTCTACGCCGTCTAGCTCAAGCCTATGGCCAGTCTCACGCCAACTGCACCGACTGAAGGGATGCCTCTTGCACCAGTAAAAGCAAAAAAAGGTCGAGGTCTTTGAAGGTTTGGGGAAGGGGCCCTCCAGGCCCAGATGGGCTTCGCATGGTTTAGCATTTGCGGGCTTGGACCAACACGGCAGCATGGCATTCCCCGAGGCCCCCATCGCCTGGCCACGTCCTCCGAGTGGCACACTTTAATGGTCGACGCCGCGATGCTCTCCGTGCAGACGTCCTGACTTGCGGGGGTGCGGGGCGTTCATTCAAAGGCCAGTGCGGCATCCAAGATGCCAGGCACGTGCCTTAAGACCTGTGGGGGGGGAGACATTGGAAATAAAAAGGGATGCCAAACCCATGACCCCACAAACCTCAAACTTAGCACCTGACCTGTGCAACCTAACCGGCAGAGGGGCCACTTAGTGGTTGGTGGGACATATTCAACGTGACGATCTTGCTGACCAGCCGCCTTGTTTTCTCTTTGAAGTGCCTCAGGCGCAGAAGCTTGTAGGCGATGCTGAGGCAGTTGTGGCCCAAATATGAAAGACTTTGGGCTTGAGAAGTACAGAAGGGTTTGACCATGCTACCATCTAAGCGAATTCCTCTACTGCAAGCCTGAAGGAGACGATCCAAACACCCTCAAAACTCGGACATCATCGAGAAAACCTGCAACAAGCCCCCAAGCCCCCAGCCCCGCCTGGAGCTCCTGGAATCTTCGTGAGGCCTCTTTGCTTTTCACCTTGGCAATCAGTGCAAGGCAACACACCTCTTAAGGGCCAGGCAATGTGTCAAACCCATCAACCATGCCACCCAGGCTTATCTAAGTCCCACAAGCGTCATAACACCACTCCTCGGCCCGTCGCCCCGAATCCTGGTCATGCAGCCTGTTAGAAGGGGATCTTTGGGAAATGCATCCCTTCGCGCAATAAGCTTCCTGACCCGTGGCTTTCTGTACCAAACAAAAAGCCTTCCGAGATGAGCTCCCAAACCCTGACAACCCTCTTAATAAGCCCTGTAACCCTAAACCCTAAGCCCTATAAACCCGATATATAAACCCTCAACCCCATACCCTCTTCATAAAGCCCCGTAGGCCTATAGAAACATCACACACATAAACAACTTACAAAGCGCCACAACTCGCAGGTTTCGCCTCCCTGGGCTCACCTCGGCCTCGGCCGCCTGCACGCGCTGCTCGAAGGCGGTCCTGTCTTAGGGAGCTGCGTGGTTGGGGTTTTCAGAGGGCTTTCAGAGGGCTTTCAGAGGGTTTTCAGAGGGCTTTCAGAGGGTTTGGAGGGCTTTTCAGAGTGTTTGGAGGGTTTGTAGAGTTTAGAGGGTTTATAGAGTTTAGAGGGTTTATTAGAGGGTCGAAACAGGGTTTCTAGAAGGGTTTCGAGGGTGTATAGGGTTTAGGGTGCTTCGGCTTATCACCTCCGCATCTCCCGGCGCGCCTCTTAACTGCTCGCTGCGCCCAGAGCTGGCCTTAACCCGCAGGCGGTGCTCGAGGATCACAGCCACAAGGGGTTCGGGTTGAGGAGATCCAGAGCCGTAAGAGGTGGCATCTTCTCAAGGGATGGAGGAAGGCCGCGTTCAACCCGAGGAATGCTGGGGCCGCGACAAAACCCTGACTTTTAAGGCTAAAACTCGAATAACAACAATATAAGGCATAACGATAAGAATGGTCATAGTTCTGCTAAGTGCCCCTTTCCGGGCGCCCGGCGAAGGGAGTCATCTGGGTCCTCGAGATCGGCCTTAGAAAAGGGGCGGACCATCCTCCATGAAGGGCTTAGGGTTTAGCAGGTTTAGGGGTTTAGGGGGTTTAGGAGGTTTAGGGGGTTTAAGGGGTTTAGGGGGTTTAGGGGGTTTAGGGCGGGTTTAGGACTTTCGGGGGTTCAGGGGGTTTAGGGGATTTAGGGAACACCGAGAGTTTCCCTAGTTTCCCTGAGCCGCCAGCATCTAGGTCCTGGTCCTCCAGTGGCATCACGCGACTCCGGATCGCCAGCCTGAGTCCCCAGCAGTTCTGCTGAAAGAGGGTTTACGGTTTAGGGTTTAGGGTTTAGGGTTTAGGGTTTGGGGTATAGGTTTTAGGGTTTAGGGGGACTACTGGGAGGTTCATGGTACTTGTTAACTACCCGTCCATGAACCTCCAAATAAGGGATCCCGGGACTGAAGGGTGCCTTGGAAGGTCGAGAGTTTGTCAGGCGCTTAGCTTCAGTCCATCCTTGGTGTAACATGGTGTGTAAGCTTGCTCAGGTGCATCTGTACCAAGCTCCTTGTGAGGATATTCCCTGAAGCGCATGTCGCCCAGTTCTCAATCCTGATCAATACCAAAAGACGAAAAGAATCTCTGCCGCTTGCAGTCTGGCTGCCACGAGGCACGCCGCTGCTGGTTGCGGTCCGGCATTACCTCGGCTGCTACTTGCTGCTACCTGGTGTGTAGGTGGGGGGGGGGGGGTGTTTGGACTTAACGTGATCGGCCTGTTTGTTTTGAGTCTCGTCCCCTTGGGGACTTTCTCGAGACCCACGGCTTATTCTAAGGGTTGCTGTTCTTATTCTGGGTGTTGTTTCTTGGCCTGGGGTGCCTCGGCGACCTCTGATGAGGAGGTATGTGGATCGGTGTGGTGTTGGGTAGAGCGGAAAGGAAAAGATGAGATTGGGCGAGGTGGTATGCCGGGGCGTGAGGGATCGCCAATTGTTGCGAGGTAAAGGTGGGATCCGCAACACAGGAAAAACAAACCGCCCAGCCGAGGCATATCCCAAACAAACTGAATTCTGAAAGCTCCATGTCCAAAGGCACCTGCCGAAAACCCAGTCCCCAAAACGGGCACCGAGCAACCATAGAGGACCGTCGCGTGGGACTGATGGAGCTCCTGAGAAAGCGAGGACTTCATGAGCGTGATTGGGCACTGTGACAGCACCCTAAAGGAAGGCCATCATCTTGCCAAGCCTTTGTTCAAGGGTCCTGAGGCCCCACTCATCTTCCACGACATCAACTTTCCTAGTGCTAGCTTGGGATGAGTCTGCGCGCTCAACTCAGTTTCCCTGCTGCGACGCGAGCTTCCCGAGGCAACAGCGGACAACAAAAAATCTTCAAACTACGCAAAAGCTCGAAACTCCCGAGGGGCCACAGAGGACCAAGCGGCACTTCCGATCTCAAAGCAGCTTTTCATGTTCTCATGTCTTCTATTTAGTATATACTCATACTCTTGTACTCAAATGTGTCTACTTCTCCTTGTATGAATATATTCAAGATTCCCTGCTGCTCCTCCGCCCCCGCCGGGGAGAGCCTCTTGGAGATGCCTCTGCGTGGAGCTCTCTGCAATATGTGTCGGACTCCCACACAATTTGCCCCCCATCTTGCATAGGGTTTAGGGTTTAGGGTTTAGGGCTAGGGTTTAGGGTATAGGGCTTAGGGTTTAGGATTTAGGGTTTAGGGTAGGTACGTAACCCCCAAAGAAGCCGCGCACCCTGAAACCTGGGCCCCCTGGTTTGCGGAAGCCCACACAGCACAGCTGAAGTCTCACAGGCTGACCACCTCATGTTACATTCTATAGTCATAGCATGTATATAGCCGAATAAGGCAGGTTACAGCCTACTGTAGCTCCCCAAGCCTCCAGTCTGCAAAGCCGCGTCAACCTGAAAAACCCAGCTCCCTTGGCCCAGGCAAAACTTGGAAGCCTCATGCGACAAGAATGAACCCTAACCATCCCTAACCCCACAATCTCTCCAAAATGGCGATCCTGACCGAAGTTCCCAGCTTCTCTCGCGCCTCCATCTTCGATTGCACGACCTCTGGAGCGTCGGAGCGGCTGGGTTTGGTAGGGCTCTCAAGAGTTCCAAAACAACCCGAAATCCTTGCGGTGCCTACTCGCTTGCAACTTGTTCCACTGTTCTACAGGCTTCGCCGCGCCTTTCGGGCTTTCCTTTCGCCCATCAGTCCCAGGTTTGCGCAGGACTGCGATAAGAGGAGTTGAGGCTTGCAGCCATAGAAGCATCACACGCTTTGGCTGGGCGCTTTCGCATGATTCCCGCCTCGATCTGCTTCCTGCCCCAGATGTCCTTCGTCGGGGGCCTTCCCAAGTCAGCGGTGCGACTGCAAGCACACGCTTTTCAGAACAAGCCCCTGACGAAAGACCCAAACTTTAAACACAAATCGCAACCTGAACCCATATGGGCTCACACAGCCCATAGCGGCCCATAGCAAAACTGAGAGGTGTTTCGTAGGCCAGAGGACTCGAGTTGCAAAGCCCAGGCACGGCGGCTCATCCTCTGGATGCCAGTCGCCCTGTCGAGAGGTATGCACACCCCTGCATCCCCTTCCATAGGTCCTTGAAATCCTTCAGGTGCTTCAGGTGCTTTTTTGTGCTTCAGGGGCCCTGAAAGTCTTCAAGCTCCCCAAGCCTCTCCCTGAGCTGCTTCGCTAGTCACAGACACAACTTAAAACTGCTTTCCCGTCCTGTTCCCTTGTGTGGGGCTTTCATGTCTTCCCCTACGGGTGACACAGTACATCTTACCTCCCCCTCCCTCGCGAACACAACTTCAGGGCGAAGGCAGAACTCAGGATTGGTGGAGAGCGTGGCGGAAGGGTGGAGAGTTCTAGAAGTTCTAGAACCCACCCCGGGGGACGGACCCCCTGCACAAGTACGCCGCTTTGGGGGTGTGAACAGCGGAATGGACTGGGCAGGATGTAACGGTACCCCCGCTTCTCTCTCTCTCTCTCTGTCTATATTGGCTGCGGCCTCCTCCGCCTCGTTCTCCTCATGGTCTACGAAGCACATTTGTACACGGGAGCACGCAACCTGGAGGCCCGGCACAAGGTTCCGGATATCCTAGAAGGCCTTGGAAGTACCAAACAAACGAACCAGAAAACGCCAGCCTGCAAGACCGCAAACTCAGGACCCGGGACTATGGCAAGCTGACCACGTTCTTTCCGAAAAGACAAGCCCCAGAAACCTTCGTCCCCCAAAAACTGCTGCAGAGGACTTGTATTTCTCCCTTGCCACAAATCCGAACTGAACGCCCTAAGCTCCTCGCGAACAAAACGGGAATGCGCGACTTGTTCCACCGATAGGCTTCAGGGCTGACAGGCTGTGGCTCAGCGGGTACACCTTTCTTGAAGGTTCATAGTACGTATGAACCATTGATAAGTGCACTTATATAAGTGTACTTATAACCATATTAGTGCACTTAGTGGGCTTATAAGTGGGCTAGAAGTACACTTATAACTGGTCAATAAGTACCATGAACCTCCAAGTAAGAGCATCCTCGAACCACACTCCCCCAATGCCCTGTCCGGTTTGGCCTCACGGGTGGCCTCCCAAGCACGGATGAGCATCCAGAACCCTAAACCCTAAACCCTAAACCCTAAACCCTAAACCCTAAACCCTAAACCCTAAACCCTAAACCCTAAACCCTCCCCCCTCGCCCTCCTCGCCCCCAATCACTACCCGCTCTTCCGATGCTTCTCAATGTCAGCTCTATCTTCCCCGGGTGGTCTTGAAGCGGATTGCAAGCCATACTCCTTCATGAGATGTTCAAGCCCCCTCAGGCTACCCGTCTCTTTAGATCATAGCATGAATCAGAACCATCCTCATGAGCCTTGCTTAGCCCGAACATGCTCCGACGGTGACCGTGACCTTAACTTTGCTTTTGGGCACTGTGGCAACGTTGGACGTTGACGGCCTTCTTTTCATGTGACCTTTTGTCATGCGACCTGTTGCTTTGATGACTGCGTCGTCCATGTCTTCCATGCTTTGAACCGTACCTTGGAAACATGCCGCGCAAACCTCCCAAGCATTGTGGATGACGAGGCGGTGCAGCGCAATTTCGGCGAGGAGCCTCCTGGCAGTAATCTGGGAAGAGGAGTGCCCCGGGCCAGAACCCTTTGAAGGCACCTAAGGGATGGACATCCCGACGTTCTTTCATTTAACCTGCTTAAATAAATGTGGTTTACGATTCCCCTAAACATAGACCCCCAAATAGTAGGATCCCCTTATGATCAGGACCCCAATAAGGTACCCCAAATATCGTAAACCCCCACATGTCAAGACGTTGGAGTTCCAGCGGCCGCACCCTCCGAGCGTCAAGATCTGCTCGATGGCGGCCCCTGCGGCTTCCATCGCGTCCGCGCTCGCCTCTTCTGGGCGAAGCTGTGCCCCGGCGTTTAAGCTTCGGAGGAGTTTCTCGGGGCTCCTTGGGACTCCAGCTTGGAAGGTTTCGGTGCCTCTAGAGCTCCAGTGAGTGCGCTGATACGGCTTTTTGGGGGGGTGCTGGGGGGAGCTGTGCCGCGCGGTCAACAACATGCTCTGAAGACATGCTCTCAATCTAGAAGCCCTCCCTTCATACTATGGCCTTCACGCGTCCTGAGCCTCGAACATCCCGGAGCACAAGCACAACGGCTTAAAAGAAAGCATGCTGTACCGAAGGCCTCTACTTTACCCAACCAAGCATTCGGCGCCTCCAGGCTCTCCGCCTCCATCTCGCCGGACACCGGCGACGTCATAATGTTACACGGGGCCCGGCCCCTCTCAAGCAATACTTGGAGCCCTTCTGAAGGAGTTTTGGGGGCCTAGCTGCCTTTTGAACCAACGGGTTTCAGGGACTTTCCTTAGTTCAGGTGGCTGGGATGCTTTTTGCTGCTTCTGGGCTACAAGCTGAAACCTGTGGAATAGTGTTTCTGCTACAAGCAGAATTCTGTGGAATAGGATTCAATAGGAGAATCTCAGCGCAGATGTCGTTTGCTCTGCTGGGTGTATGTTGTTGTGCTCAATGCCGGGTGAAACTGAGGCAAAGATTTGCGGCGCAGGCGCGTGCAATGCCGGCACGGTGTAGGAACCCAACAAAATTCAGGAATTGGACGTGGGCTCGGGGAACCCCAGCCCCAAATACCCCAAACCCTGCTGTCAAACATTGGTGAGGAGGCGTTCCGAAGCTTCGAAGCAGTTCGGGAAGCTCCTTCTTTGACGAGCCAAGTAGACGGTTGTGTTGAATGGAGCCATCTCCTTGGGAGAACTCGTGCGTGGGCAAGGGCCGCTCTGGTCTGGCTCTGCATGTCTTCTGACCAGGGCTATGCAGGCGCCTGCGTTTTCAACTGCTTGGGGGTGACCCCCTAACATGTGAGGTTTTTACAAGCACAAGTCGATAAAGAAGTTCTGGTCATGAGAAAACAGCTGAGGGTCCGAAGGTCTATCTAGGCCTGGAGGCCAAAGCACCCTAGTGAACCAGAACTCCCCAACGCCCTCCCCGAAGAGGGCCACCTTGACGAACATTGGGAACCAAACCCTGAACTAGCCTACTAAACCTTCAACCCTAAACCCCAAAACCCTATAATACCCCCAAAATAACCCGAAAATGACCCCATAATCACCCTAACCCTACACAACCCTCTAGAACCCTATATATATATATATATAACCCTCTCTAACCCTCTCTAACCCTACATACGTTTTTCTATACATCCCTCTGTAACCCTGACTCTTTGACCTTAGGAGCTCTTCAACGAAGGGGAAGAGCGGCCCTGGCTTCGAGATTCGAATGCCAAGTCTTTCTTTGGGACTGGTGAGGTCGGATTCTTGGGGAGCCTCAAGCTTTTGCAGGGTTTAGGGTTTAGGGTTTAGGGTTTCGGGTTTAGGGTTTCGGGTTATAGGGTTGCAGGCAGAGCTGTACCCTGAACTTCCGTGCGGAAGGCTTTGGGGAGGGGAATCCGTCCATCGCTGAGAACAAAAAACGGATTCAGTGCATCTGCGTTATGCAAATTCTGGGCCATGGATGTGACCCTCGCGACCAAGCACCTCCCATCCGGGAAAATTGCGTGTAGCATGATGCCTGGCAGACTTGTGGGACACGACTAGTTTTTGGGCATTTACATGTGGCCTTCTTTCATCTGAGCGACTGCCCAAACCGTTGTTGGGCCGCATCTCTTCGATTTTAGGGGCATGCTAGGGTGGGCCCCTATCAGTTGTCGATGAAAAGCACTAAAAAACAGAAGGCATGCAACGTCAAGACATGATTGGATCCACATTAGTTCTGTCCGAGGCTCAGGGGCAATTACGAGACAAAAGTCAGAGCAAGCCATGGTTCAGGACAGGCATGGGGAAGGAGGCCGCACACAGTGGCAACTCCTACTGGTGGCAGTTCCTAACTCGTCTTGGTCCGATGGGTCGACAGCGTGGCCTGTCCGGCGAATATTGCCGGACTGCTCGTGCAACAGCACCCTATACGGCCTATGCTACTACGTCAAGAGCGCCCTGTACAGCGCAAGCGCCTGATAGCTGAGCAGACATCAGCAAAAACGATCAGTTCGGAAACTCCTTACTGGATGTGGGCGTTTTGCTCTCAGTACTCCCTAAATTTATGCCCACCACCCTCAACCCTACCCACTGCATTTCCACATCACAGCTTCTTCAGTGTCTCCACGCGCTCGTCGAGTTGGTGGAGAGTGACCTGGCAAGCAGAGTAATTTTCGCGGAACCCTTGCAGTGCTTTTGGGTTTTGAAGGTGGTGGCCTGGCACGGTCTCCTCTGCTCACACTCTCTCCCTCTCTCTCGCTCTCTCTCGTTCTGTCCTTGTTTCTGTTCTGTTCTGCTCTTTTCTTGTTCTTTTCTTCTCTTTGTCTGTATTCCTTTCGCCCGCGCGTGATGCGCACCCCTTGCGCGCCCCCATCCAATCCCAGTCCAGGCGGTTTCTGCCTCCGCTGTCGCCGTTCGACGAATCCTGAACGCCCCCACCCAGCAGCCACAGCCTCCCAAAGCCCTCGGCCCCCCTCTGCCATTCGACAGCCGGTTATAGAATTGGCCGTGAGCTCCAAGTCGCCAACACCAAAATGCCACGCATAGCGTCTCCTAATGTGCTCGACACAGGTGGCGGCCCAGGATCATCTGCTTCAGGGCTCACTCATGTTGCCGTCATTACGCCGTTCGATTTTTGGGAGTCTCACACTCGCGGCTACTAGCTTCGGATGCAAGTCACGGGAGAGGCCTTTCACCCGAATGCTCCCTGCGGACCCTGTCGTCGCCTGCTCCCCTGTCCCCCTGCCCCCCCACGAGGCTACACTGCCCTTCTCAGCGAGGTTGCCCAACAACTCGGTACATCGGACGGGTACGTCTGCCGTGTGGCTCGGCCCCCCTTCCAGCCAAGTTAAGTTGTTCCTGGTGTCTTTGTGTCTTTGTTTCTTGGCTTCCATGTTTCTTTGTTTTTTTGGTTCGTGGTTTGCGTATTCCTTCGTATCTTTGTTTCTTAGTTTGCTAGTTTCTTTGCTTTTTTCTTTGTGTGTTTTTCTTTGTTTCTTTCTTTATTTCTTTCTTTGCTTCTTTCGTTGCTTCTTTCTTTGCTTCTTTGGTTCGTTCTTTCTTTGTTTATTTCGTTCGTTCTTTCTTTCCTTCTTTCGGTCCTTCTTTCGTTCCTGTGAAGGCGCTGATTCGCCATGCAAATTCGCATGGTCTACTGCTGCGCCACGAGAGCCACGGCTAGACCCCATGTTGGGGTGGTCACCACCTCCCCCCCCCCTCCCCCCCGCGGTGTGCGCACTGCCTGTCCCCTCTCCCGCGAAAACATTGCAGCAAAAGGCTTCTGTTCTGTACGCCGTCGTCTTCCTCTGAAGGCTTGGGAGAAACCCCCATGTGTGTATGTGTGTCTCTTTCTCTCTCTCTCTCTCTCTCTCTCTCTCTCTGTCTCCATCTCTTTCCCTGTCCCTCTCTATCTCTCTCCCTCTCTCCCTTCTCTCTCTCTCCCTCTCGCTCTCTCTCTCCCTCTCTCTCGCTCTCTCTCTCCCTCTCTCTTCCTTCCTTCCGCAGCACTTGGCCCCCCCGAAGGAAGGCCGCCCAATGGGCGTGCTCAACTGAGTTAGTCGGTGTGAAATGTGTGAAGAACGTGTGCGTGCCCAGACGAAGGCAGGAACAAAGCTACAACTCAGTGAACACTACTACATGGGCACCCACTTCTCCCTAAGGTGATCGAAAACGCCCACATTGGGACAAGTTAGGGGAAGGCAAAACCTCTCTCTCTCTCTCTCTCTCTCTGTCCCTCCCTCGCTCTTTGGTGAGAAGATGCCCCATGAGTGAGGGGGAGCCGAAGAAACTTGAATGCTTGAACTTCGACCGAACCTCAGGCATCTAGCGCTCTTCATGAAACGATACCTTGCGACCTTGTACCTTGGCAGACGTGTGTCGCAACTTGGCGCGCGCACCACAGACAAGTCGTGGCCGGATCTCTTGATGCTCTGGTAGGTCCTTGGTGCAGCACTTAGACCACTCTGGGAAAACACCGAACAAGAGCGATGATGAACAATAACACAAGTAAGTGCAGTTGCCCAGGCCCCCTCCCCCCCTTTGATCTAGATCTTTGGGCCATGCAAGGAAAATCACACAGCCGCTACACATGTGCGTGCTCTCACACACACTCACACACTCCCACACTCACACACACACTCACACACTCACACTCTCTCTCACACACACACTCACACACTCACACTCTCTCACACACTCACACACTCAAACACACACTCAAACACTCACACACTCACTCTCTCACGCATTCACACACTCACACACTCAGAGTCTCACAGTCTCACAGTCTCACAGTCTCACAGTCTCACAGTCTCACAGTCTCACAGTCTCACAGTCTCACAGTCTCACAGTCTCACACACACACACACACACACACACACACACCCGCGCGCGCGCGTGCACCCGCACGGCTGCACACCTCTCTGCGCGCGTGATACCGAAAGCAGTTGGTCTCCATGGATAGATGCCATGCACTCAGCATATCGGTATGTCCATAGAAGGCATTGCACGGGGACGACTGTGCAGTCAAGTCTAGAGTCGAGCTCGCAATGAAGCCCCTTCTGCCTGCCCTAGCACCCTGCCCACGAAAGCAGGCGAGGATCTTGATGAGATTCTTCTTCACATAGGCAGCCGGATTATCCTGAGCTTGCACACACACCAAAAGCAAAGCGGTTCGGGCACGGTCCTGATCGGAACACCTGATGGGAAAACACGGGGGCCCGATCGGCAAACCAAAGCCTAAAATCCAGAACCCACACCGCATATGATGGGCCCCCATTGTTTTCTGATCCGTCCACCCAGCTGCCGTTTTGGGGACCAGGTTTTCTGATCAGTCACTCCGCTTCCTGAGACGGGCTTCACTGAAAAGTCATTCAGTGCCATGTTGGGCTCAAATATGTCATCTCGTTTCGTCCCCTCCGTTCCACACATTGAACTACTGCGTTTGCTAGACGCAAAGTTGTTGTGGTTGTTGGCATGTCGGTTTGAAGCCCCACAGATCTTCTGCGCACTTCTCCCATCCAGCCCCAACCAGCTACCAGAAACCTGCATAGCACACCCCCTGTATCAGATTATCTGATGGACCCAAGTGCACATATCTGCCGAGGACAGGACCGGAAATTCCCAAGTCGTGCCGTCCGACCTCGGCCAAACATGAGCAATTCTGCGATTGCAGTGTCATGCTAGCATGGCC